GTGAAGGCATCTTGCATTTTGTTGAACAGAGTTTTATCTGTTCTGTTCCATACACTGAATTCTGGGATACGTTTGCATAATCTATTTGTATGAGTAAACGAAAGAGGCTAGAAGGAACATTTCTTGTGATAAATAATGGGAAGTTGTAGAGGTGGGGCAGTTAGGACTGTTTCCTGCATTATATTGATAGGGAAACAATAAAAAGCTAATATTCTCCCCAGAGATTTACAGATTAAGACTTCAGAGTCTTGTTTCCTGGGTTTTTCAGTTTGTTGTTGTTGTTTTCCACCCAAGTGGGAAAAAAAACCCAAACAACTAAGTGACTTTTCAGGCTAACAAGCACTTTGGATCCTCTGAGGATAAGGTCTAAAGAGAAATAAATTCTGTATTCAGCCAAAGAATATTAAATCAGTTTAAATTACTATTCTCTTTCAGCAAGTGTAGAGACAAACAAGGTTCAGGGTTTTGATTTCAACCTGTTCGAGTGAAACAGGCTGCTGCTAAGAGTGTCCAAGAGAACATGCTATTGCCCTGCTCCATAAGTAGTAAATACCTAAAGTAAGAAAGAGTCCATAAGAGAAATGCTATGCCTTTGATTCCTCAAATGTTCAAACTACTGTCTGAAATAATTAGCAGCTGCAGCCTGTAATCACTTGCCATTCAGGCAGGAAGGAAACCCAGCAGCAGGCAGCCAAATTACAATGCAATGTAGGTTGCTTCTTCCTGCCTGAGCTAACCTGTATTCTCCTTTGTGTGTCAGGGTAAGGACACAGATAGCCCCAAAAGAGAAGCCTTTCAGTTTTCTGTTGGAACATTTCTTCCCTCATCACAGTCAGCTAGACCTGACGCGGTAGCTAAATATCAACATTTAAAGTTAGCTTGCCTTTTCCCCAAACAAGGGCTAACTTCTGAGTTTGTAAGCTAGAGTAGTACTCAGCAAATATTTCTTCTCTCATTTATTGCCCAAATGACACAGAAGATGGCAGATTAGACAGTCTTTGGCTAAAAGTAAAGGTTTCTTGCCTTTCAGCTAATTAACATACTTCAGGTCATGCTTTCAAAACCCTGTTATTTCTTAGCAAGATATTTCATACTTTCCTTCTGGTCTTTTTAGTTTCCTGCCTGAAGATATACTCTTATCATGCTAATGATCTTCAGCTTCTGTTGCTTCTGTCATGCTTTCTGTGACCTCTCTAGGTCTCAAGTTTTAGTCATTGAACACTCAGCTCTGGTTAAGTTTTATACACATCTTTTATATAGCTATTTCTTTTGTATATATAAAGTGCCTATCACCATACTGATATTCTTTTCCTAATCTCCCAATTTATTTTTCCACCCACCACTTCCATTTGGAATGTTTGATACCTCAGTGTCTTGGGTTTGCCTACCTCTTTCTGCATTCCAGCATTTATTTCTGCATTTCAGCTTCTTCCAGGACTGAGGTCCTCTCTGCTTGGTAGAAGAGATTTAACTTTTGTTGTCCATAGTTTTGTCCAGACATCCCCTTGAGTCTGTTTGTGCTGCAACAACAATAAAGACAGGATTAATTGGCTCAAAGCTTTAAGAATTAAGACGTATCTTGATAATTTGAGAGACAATGGGAAAGGTGCTTCCCCTGTCCCCTTCTAAGAGCTGGAGTTCAGGCTAACAGTTTTTTAAGTCACATTTTCTGAAGTTTTTGAAGTTTCAGTTTCTGAAGGCAGAAGTAGACTGAATGGTTCACAGTTCAAACCTATTATTTCAGAAAGGGGTGGAGTTTGCTTTTAACAATGCCAGGCTAATTTGTGAATTAATGTCTCTATTTTCTGAGGTACAAGAGCAGTCTGATTTGGAGGACTGGCTGAAAGGATGCAGTAAAAACGAAGATGAAGACAAATCTGATTCTTTAGATTAAGCTGCTACTGTGCATTAGGACTGTCAGCAACCCACTATCAGTCTATAGGAATTGTTTCCTATGTTTTCAATTCATGGTGAATATGCATAAAAGCATATGTGACTTTTTTTTCTAATTAAAAGGGAAAACCCAGTAGCACTATGGGAGACAGATAAAAAAAGGAGAAACAGTAAGGTTCCAGAAACAGTTTTTACAACTACCAATGACAGAACAAGCACCTGTAATGACAAAAGGCATTGCCTTGTAGTACAAACAGCTAGGCAGACTTTTGGGCAGAAACAACTCTGTCCTTTTTCATGTAGAGGTACCTAAGAAAGCTCTAGAAATCTCTGTATGCAACAAAACAGCAGCCAAGGAACAAAACCACATTTGCCTTCAATTCACTCTTACACAACTGCAGATAGCAGATAGTGCCCTAAGTGGGGTTTATTTTTGGCTGAAACCTCAGGTTGTGCATCAGTAATGACAAGACCAAGGGAAGAAACCTTGCCTCTGGTGAATGTGGTTTGTACTTCCCCATGCAGTGCCTCTGCCCTGAAGTCTACAGGGGCCTTTCTCATCACACTGCTGCTGGTAAGTAAAAACTTAAGTTTGTAGATTAACATGAGGGTGAAAATAGTGGCCAAAACCCTTTCTGAGACAAGTGGTTTAGATACAGCTACAGCCAAACTTAAGTAAGTCTTGCCTGAAGCTTAAATACTCTACATCTGCTGAGGTCAGCGCTCACAGTGAATGGTATTACACAAAGAAAAGTACAGGGAAGCAGGGGACAGAGAGGATGCTGAACTGCTTTCCAGGCGTCAGCAGGGCCATTCCCATGGTACGTGGGTGTTGTGGACAGATGCAGCCCGTGCTCCTGCCCTGTGGTTAGCCTCCACCACAACTTCCCATCCACTTCACTTATTTCTGGCCCTTTTGGTGGCAGTCACAGGTCAAGCCCAGGCCAGATGTCTGTGACCAGCCCCTGCTGTGCACAGGCCTGTCTCTGCCAGTCCTCCTCCCTGCAGCACCTCTGGAACCTCAATCTCTTTCTGAGGCTTCAGCAGATGGATCTTAGGAAGGCTAAGGAAGACGTTCAGAGTGTCCCAGGTTGGAAAACTTTCACCATACCAGAAGTTACACCAGCCAATGTTTTCCTCTAGAAGCACAATGAAGTCATCTTAGGAGTCTGAACAGCTCTGGCAGGGCACTTTTTCCTCCCAGGTCTGGACATCTGGCTGGTGCCTGAAGACGAGAGCCCCTTCATGAACAGAGGACATTGCTGCAGTGATCTGTCTTGCTGTGGCTCTGCAGTGACTGCCACTTCCACAGCTATCATAATAGCACTTGGGGATACGTTTGTATCTCCAAGCTGTGTCCACTGTCTTCATTTTGAAACCACATGTAAACTGGTGGGCTCATGGGCTAGCCTAAGAAAACCTCAGCTCTGTGACAAAGTCTCTCTCTCAGGGTCTTCCTTGGGTCAGCAACTCTTCACCTCAAACACACAGCCCAGAGACCAGAGATCAAAGCTATTCCTAAACCAAGACAGGACACAATGAACTGGAGGTTGTCTCACATCACCTCCTTCTGAAGAGAAAACAAACATGACTATTTGGGTTTTTGTGCTGGGCAGACAGCTCTGCCTTCCCTACCATGTTTCAGTGTTGTAAGAGAGGACATAAATCCATGTCCAAACCCACTCTGTGCCTATCACTGCATAGACTTTTCCTAACGACACGAGAGTCTTCTTTTTTCAACTGGGCTGAGATGATTTTATTTGCAGCTTTTATTTTATTCTAGTCCTGGCTTCCTTCCATCCACTTTTGTCAGCTAGGGTTTTGCTGCTTTGTTTTCCAGTCACACTGTTTGGGCCCAGTGGATAAGCTTTTAAGTCAGAAAACTAGCACGTTGGCAGCAGCATCCCAGCTCAGGCTTGCCCTGCCCTATTGGGCTTGACAACAGCTCAGAGATGATTGATGTTCTAGCCCCAGTGCCTTCCCTTGAGATGACAGCACTCAGAAAAGCTGTCAGTGCTTGAGGAGAAAGGATCACCACAGAAATGCTAGCTCATTGCAGCTTATCTCCAGAGTTAGTTACTCGAAGATCATAAATACGTGGATTACAGTTTCTAACTTCATGAATTCCTGGACAGTTGACACCAAGAACTGTATTTCTGCAGTAAAATATAGACCTATCTCCCTCTAGTCCCTTTATTCACAGTGCCTTGAAGATGCCAGTATCTGTAATTCGTTTGGTGTACTGTGTGATTCAGAAGTCGTGGCAGACCATATGAAACATCCACCCAGCTTAAAATGACTGCAGTTAAGTCCCCTCATAGAGCATTCTCCTAATTATGCCTCAGAAAGGAAGGGGCAAAAGACATGAAAGGCAACAGGAGGCATATGCATTAACATTAGTATTATGTTATTGGTTCTTGTGCCCTATGGTATCAGAGGAAGCTACTTTTGGCAATTTCCCTGTTATCAAGAAGGTCCAGGAAAGTAATCCAGATGGCAATGAGTTACATAAAGCAACTTTAACTTTTCTTAAGGTATGTCCCACTTGTTTTATATGCTAGCCCAAAGGTAGTAATCTCGGTACCTTTATGCCTGCCCTCTGTGATTGGTATTTGTTCAGGCTGAACAATCATCTGTGATGAATAAATGGCATATGTCAAACCATCGGTTTTAGTAACTTGTAAGAGAAAGGTCAGGAGTTAGTCTCAAAATAGCTTTGAGACAGCTCAAAGCACCAGTCCATCATATCCATTCATTTCTTCTAAGAGCACTTCGAATTCCCTTTGCTTCCTTTAAAAACCATTTCTCACTGCCACTTCTGAGCAGCCCAGTCCTCCCAGGTGCTCTGGGCTCTGCTTTCTTAGGGTGGTTATTTCTCTCACAGAGTAATTCCTTGTAGCTTGCCACAGTTTATCTCAATAAATCTTCACAATTTTTAATAAGCTTTTTTCATGTCATGTGTTGAGCAATTGTCCTGAACCCAGGACGACAGCAATCTATATTACATCATTTGTACTGAGTGTTCACTGTCAAGAGCAGAGAACTGGCTACTGGATATGATTTCCTTTCAGAGATGAAACAAAGGAATGTTTACTATGCCTGAGTGTTTACTAAGCCAGCCAAATACAGCAAGGCTGACCCCAGCCTTTCACATGTGTAGAACCAGCTTCAGGCTGCCACCAAACACTGCAGAGCCCACCCACCTTTCAGAAATGGTTTGTTCATACTAGCAGAGCAATGCAGGATGACCAAGTTCCAGTTCAGCAGCATTTAGAGTCCCGTTTGTGTAGGAATAAATAGCTACCAGAGGATCAAAGGCAGAGAATTAGAGCTTAGTGTCCATACACTGTATTCAAAATTAATGAAACATGTGAGGAGAAATTATTGCAGGTCACTTTTTGTAATCATTAGGATTGCCTCATTCTAAAATGCTGTTATTGAACAAATTCAAGGTAAATTGCATCTCTGGTAATAACTGGAATACTTTCAGGACTAGATTTTCAAGTTATCTATTTGCATGTGTGCCTGCACAAATTGTACGTGCTGCATCTCTTGGCACTAGCATAGCAATTGTGTGCGTGGAATTGGCATCTGTGCACACACATGGCCAGCTAGCTACCAGGCTGGACTTGGACTTGGACTTGAACACCCAGGCTGGAGACACAGATCCCTCAGAGCAGTTGGCTCCTACTTTTATTAAGTTACTGTCAAAACAGTGCAGATAATAGAGCAGCAGGAGTTAAAAGCTAATTCCAAGTAATGTAGATGAAACTGAGTTCACGTATCACTCAGGCAGTGCCAGCAGCTCCTTCAATTTTGCATCCATCTTTCCTAAACGCACAGCATTCAGCAGTTCACACCTCAGGTGTGATCACACCTCAGGTTAAAACATTTCTTCTTTTGTAAAACCCTCTTGCCAAGTATGCTTTTGTATTTTATTACAAATGCCTACTATTTGGGTTAAGTTACTTCCTTTGTATGATTGGCTATCTTCCAGATGCCTCTAAAATCAGTAGTGATGAAGTGAGGGAAACAAAAGCAGCAGATTCTCTTCCTTCAGGCCTCACCACCCACACTGCAATGCAGCACTCAGCACTCCTTCCCCAGACCTCTGTCCTCTCTCCATCCCTTGATTTCTGGAGCTAGGGAGGGGGAGAACTGCTGCTGATGGCAAGTGGGATGGTGATAAAATGCCATTTTTCTCTTACCTCTTTATAATAAGCTCTGTCAGAACATTTAAAAACAACACAATCAAACCAAACAACAGATCTAAAACAAACCCCAACAACAAACCCAACCACCCAAATTCCATTGTCCTGAGCAAATTCCCTTGTCCTCAGGCTCTTCCTATTTTGACTTTTGGTACCCATTTTGGTACTCACTCAACACTTGTAATTATCATAAATTTTGCTGTGTCTAACTGGAAATCTCTTAGCAGTCATTCCAGTATCAGGCACTGTGAGATACATCATGACAGCACCATCTCTATTCACACTTCTCCAATATGCCCTTGATAAATCATCTACTATATTTTTAACTCCTTTTCTGGATTGGTATTCAAAACTTCACTTGGTATTTCTGGAGTGTTAACAGCTGTCTCCCTATTCCTGGTGAATGCTTAGTGAAGGTTCTTGAAAATAATCTCAAACACCTAGTGATCTGTTCCTAGGGCTGCTCAAGTTTTCCATAGATACACTAGTGGGATCATTAGGAGCAGCACTGTTGCAGTCACCCCTTGTGACACTGGTATCTTGGTTTGCTAAATGCTGCTTGAGATTAGAGATACACTTATAAAAGACAATGCTGAGGTGGGATGGGAGATAAGTTGCAACATAAAAAGAGCAGATGAGGAACTGAGGCACATTTGGCTTTCAACCAAATATGCAGTGCTCCATATAAACACATGAGAGAACAAGGAGGTGGCACATGAAAGCTCTTATATCTGTCAAAGAAGAGAAGAATAACAATTCTGGATTATCAAAAATCACCTGTTTCACAATCCAGCAATAAAAAATTCCAGTGGCTAAAGACTTAACTACTTCTCTGGGGTCTTGGGTTTGATCCCTGACCTGCCAACAAACTCGCAGTGCAGCCTCTAGAAGAACACTTCATTTACTTTGGTCTACAACCCTGTTTGTAAAATGGGAGTACTGGCATTTATTTACTGTGGTGCCAGACAGCAGAAGTTTGGAGCATGGGGGTGCTCAAATGCTACAGAGTCTACTACTGCTCCTCAAAAGCTGAATATTCTCCATCTTATGGAGTGGTTTTTGATATGCATGTAGCAGAAGGTAGCTAGCAAAATGAAGCAATTAGTTCCATGACATTTTCAGCTGCCTAACAAGTTTCTCTTCTGCTTGTCACACAAGTGTTTCAGAATTGGAGCTTGTGTTACCAGTTCTCAACATTTTACACTTTTTCAGGCTGCAATTCAACAGCTGTCTCAATATTGCAGTTGGAGCCAACAAATTCCATATAGATTTTCCTCAATATGTTGTCATTTTAAAAAACCCTTTGCCATGCCTCTTTGCTGTTCATGGCTTGATCATGGCTACCCTTTCATTAGAAATCTGTCACTTGAGTCGTTTTCCTACTAATGTGTGAACTGGAGTTGTTTTAACATCCTGGATATTAATTTCTCTGAAAGCTCAGGTTTCTGTCCCAGCACTTTCACCCCACTATTCCAAGCTGCTCCAAGCATCATGTGCCTGTTAGTCAGTTCTCCACAAAAATACCACAAATCTCATATAGAATACTACTTTTTCCAGCCCTTCTAATTTTGCTTTCTAGGTTCAGGAAGGTACTATATCACACATGTTATTGCAGGGCTTTTTCGGTTCAGCCCCTGTTCCTTAAGGGTTGATCCATAAAAATTTGTCCATATAACAGCTCTATATGCTATCATGGTTAGTGTTAGTCTCCCCAAAATACTGTATTGTATTGAGGCTAGGCCTCCCTTTTACTCCTCCTGACCCAGTAAAAATCCTTCTGGTGGAGAACTGCACTGTGAATCTCTGGCCCTTCTCTCCTGCCCTTTGGTATGGCTAGAGCTGTACGAATCTCACTTAAGTTCTCTGCACTGATTTCACCAGTCCTAATGCCTAAGGATGTAAGAATCTTGATTCATGCAATTAAGAATCATTACAAGTGCCTGTATTGATTGAAGAATTAAACTGACAGTATCTTTGCCAGCTATACATAGATCAGTATTCTTTGAAGCTTTGCATTCTCACTGTTTTGCACATCCCGCAAGAAGGACCCCCTTTCCTTGGAAGGACCCTCTTCGGAAGATCCATTGGTGTCCAGGGCTTGAACATGCTCGCAGAACATTATCTCTGAGAAGATTTCAGTCACCTACTTTGGACCACTTGAACCACAAACAGTTTAAAAATGTGGCATTTAGGGAAAAGGAAAGTATATCTTTGTATTTGATAATACTTTAAATTATTATTATAGTATTGCATATATTTCTGGAATCAGACTGTATATATGAGAACAAACAATCATTTTGTTCATTATTAGGAAAGGAAGCATATTCTCTTTTTATCCACTATGCTTTTTATGCAATCTGCAAGTACAAAGAGAACATTCAAGACCTCAGGACAAATATATTCTTCCTTTTCAGCTATACTATTATATTCTTTTGCCTTCTGAAAATAACTTATGCAACTTGTCAAAATCTGCAAGTTCAGAACTATTTCTGAACTTCAGGAATATTTTTAGATCACTCATATACAGCTCACTGAATATCATCTTTGTTTTTGTAGTTTAGGCAACCTTCTTTCTTAAATCACCATATGCTACCAAAATCTGTGAGTAGTCCCTTGCCTTCCTTCTTTCCCAGGTATCACACCCATAAATGCTCTATTTTGTGTGTCTCAAAATTCTTTGTCCTCTGAGGATTAATCTCCTCAGGCTGTCCTCTGAGTATTTCCCTAGTTCCTAGTGCCTCTCAGCCTAAATCATTGCCTCCATTTCTCACCCTCTTTCAGGCTGTGTTTGCCATGGTGGGTTTGGGTAAATCTTCCTCAGTCCATCCCTGCTGCATGGCTCCACCAGGGTGAAATCCTGAACTCATCTTTGGGGTGGATTGACTCACTGTCCCCTCCAGCTCAGTGTTACTGTGGCACTATCCCTGGTACTCATTCTCTGCTCAGGCGTATGGGATCAGTGCAGGATGACTTGAGCATCACTGCAGTGGTGATAGTGCTGCCAGGAGACCTGTGCAAGTTGAAGGCAAGAGTCAGGGCTACATCCCCCATGTCCTGGGTAAATAGTCCAGCCTTTAAACTAATGGGTGAAGGGAGCAATTGCAACAGCCACTGTGTACTTTGAGTACTTTCCCCTGCTCCCCTTTCTAAACAGCTAAGTGAAAGGTTTTGTTTCAATTAACTTCCTTTCACTTTTGCTCTTGTGAGAAAAATGGAAAAAAATAGTATCTTGCTTGAGCCGAGAATGCAGCTCACATGTCCCATACCTGCCAGAAATGTTCATTAGTGGTGTCAGAGTTACAGAGTTACCTGCATGAGTTACAGACGGATAAATTGTCTCCTGCCACAGAGATGAGGCACTGCTCTCCTAAACAGCCCTTATCAGTGCAGTACCACAGTGTCTAAACTCAGTGATCCTTCTGCACCCCAGCCCACCCTGAAACGTCCCTGTGCTGCATACAGACCCCAGGTACCTTGGTGATGGCACTGGCCTTCCCTGGCAGGGTGATGTGCTGGCTGGAGCTCCTGGACACCTAACTGCAAGCAGCTTAAGCTGTCTTTGAACGTGTCACTGCTCTTCACCAACCAGGTTCTAAAACAATTGTAATTTGGGGAGCTAGATCCCATCTGGGCCAGAGAGACCCTATGCAGACATGCCCCAGTGAGTTACAGCCATGCTGTGAGCCAGCCAGAAGCATCACCACAAGCTCTTGCAGGGCTGTTTAGCTCAGGCTGGGGAGCTGGGGCACCACAAGCAGCCAGCAGTGAGGTGGGACCATGGGCCATGTATGCTGCAGCTGCCTACAGAGGATCATGGATTGCTGCTGAAGAACGCCAAGCAACAAAACCAAAGGCTGGGAAGAGCTTTGCAATACACAAATTATTGTTGAGAAATCTGAGGACATCAGACACAGATACCAAAAGGTCACCCACATATTCTAATGTACAGAGACAGCACTGGTTACTCTTAGTCAACAGGACATGCTCTCATATAACTCTTTTTCCTGCCTGCTGTCACTGCTATAAAATATTATTTTCCAGTCTAAGCTCCATCCTTTCCCCCCCCCTCCAGTGCATCTGGTTTTGTTCCAATTCTGTCTATTGTTTTCTTTATGCATGCTGTAATAATAATACTGGTATAACTTCCCATACCCTCTGCTAATAAAAGTCAATGTATGAATGTCACCAAGGGTCAGCACACTTATTTCTGTTTCACAGTAGCTAAACTGAGCCATGAGGAGATGAAGTGATTTGCTGGAGACCATTGACCAGATCCTTGACAGCTGTGAGACAAGAGGCCAGGTCCAATGAGACCTTAATCCTTGCTCTATCCACTTAGAAACTGTTCTTCCTTCCCAACACACGTGCATGCAAACAATGCACCTATTGTGGGAATAGGAAATTAACTCTGTTCTTTCAGGATGAAGAATCCTTTCACTACTGTTAGCAAAACCTGCCAATTCTGTGGACATAACTATCCCTGGACTGGAGCAATAGCTGCATATATTAACATCAGACACAAATGCCTGCTCACTGAATGGCACACACACAGCAGGGAACTTGCCACCCAAATTTCACCAGACACAGGCAGATCACACACAGGGCCAGCAAATTGCACATGGGCTTGGGGCTGGAAGAGACCACCACACTTCCCTCCCAGACACAGACTGCATCACCTGGACCTTAGTGCTTCCCACTGGAAGATTCATGCTTCATCTGCTGGATGCTTCCCTTTTCCGTCAGCTCCTCTCTTCTGCCATCAGGAAAGTGAACCCACCTTTCCCACAAGCTTTGCCTGGCAGTCTTTGTTTTCCTGCATTGAGGCTTTACGGAACTGCAAGATTGGTCCAGGAGGGAGAAAGGGAGCCCACAGTGACCCATGCAGCCCACATCTTCCCAGGCTCAGCCAGGCAGAGCAAAGAGTTAATAAATGATGAGGGATTTCTCTGTGAGCCACAGAAAAGACTAAGAAAACGGAAACTGGCCTGAATTTAAACTGAAGGACCCCATTCTTCTGCCAAACCACTCAGTTCCTCAATCAACTGGGGCCTTGTTTCACGGTCAGTCATCAGAGGCTTTAGAAAGTCGTTCAGACAAATCTGTAGTGGGAGAGCCACAAAGGATGTCTTTTCTGTGGCACTCTCTACCTAGAATATGTAATGCTCAGGGACAGGCCTGCCCTCAGTGGTGCTTCTATACCACTGGAGCACAATATACAATGATGCTATAGGATACTTGCATTGCTGAGCTCCTGCTTATTTAAATAAGCATTTAATTAAGGCAAGTCCTGTAGAAAATCGAGCAACGAGCTTTCCTAATGGTACTTCTCCTCCTCCCCAAAATAAAATCTTTGTTGGAATTAGGAGTGGGTTTCAGAAGCACTGCAGTCTGCTCCAAATCAGACTCCTCTTTCTCTCATTAGCCCTGCAGTCCTGTCACTAGATTTCTAGCTTCTAAGGAAACACTTAATTCTCTTTTTTTTTTAGCTCAATTTAGTAATGCTTTCAATGATTTCTGATAGCTGCACTTTTATTACTCATTATTATAGAGTCAGGAGAAAAAAAATATCCCACATAATAGCAGATATCTGATTATTCTGGGAAACTTTGAAGTTCCCTTCTGCAGTGGTATTCTTTGATGTTCCTATTAAATAAATAATGATTTTTACATCTAAGGGTTATCTTACAGTGCAAAATACACCGTGATCCTCAGTGTAAAAAAATCTCTTCATTGTTAGCCACAATAAACATCAGGGGAAGCTGTGATTCTGGAGTGCTTGAAGCTGACCTGCCCAGATATGTGGCGATGTATTTTTTTCACATCAACTATTTGTGAAGGAGAAACTGGTGCTGCAGACAGAGGTATTGCAACAGAGAGAGGAAAGGAAGATGTTAGATCAAAACAGAAGAGGCACACAGGCAAAAAGAAACTAGCAGATGCTCTAAAGGCAGAAAAGCATCAGATTAGAAACAGAGTATGAGTCTTTTCATAAGGTTTTCAGTCACGGCCTTGGGCTCTTTGTATGACAGTGGGAAATAGGATGACATTTCTGGAACTGTGCTCACTTAAAAATAATAACAAAAAAAGATCAGAATTTACTGTAGAAGGAACTCGTTAAAAGACTTCAGCAATGGTACATGCAGTATGTGTTGTGTAAAGCAGGCCACCTAAATTAATTTATTCTATTTTGGTACCCGTGCAGCCCTCTCTTAGGTCAGGGCTTGTGGTCTGTGCTGTTCACTTGCTCCTGTCACTGTCCCTGGCAAGTGGCAGAGGTAAGGGCAGGTTGACCATGCTGTGCACCCCTGAGCTCTGACAGAGAAGCTACTGTAGAGCTCATGGTCTTAAATTGGAAGGTGTGTTGTCTGGGCAGCTGCCAAATCTCTCTTCCTCATCTGACTTTCACCCACAGCATGCTGGCATGGGGAAGCCACACTTCTGCACACAAGCCTTGCAAATCCCACATGTGTGCTGGTTTGGGTGCCTGGTGTTGGGCTGTAGGCATGACATTCCTCCTGGAAATGCACGGGGTCCACAGTCCTCCTGCCTGAGGTGGGCACTTTACCCAGGTAAAGCCTTTACTTGTGCATGACAGAAAACACCTCCAGCAGCACCCACTCTGTGAGCCGTGCAAGGAGGAGGATGGCTGAGATTAACAACAATACTGCAGGCAAGAGAGTAGAGCAGCACTGAGCATAGAGAGAACAGAAGGAGCAGGACAGAGAAGCAGAAGCTGGAAGGAGTGCTCCCATATTTTTTCCTGCCTTTATCCCCACTTTTATGTCTTGATTTCTATGAGGTGTTTTGTTTTTGTTTTTTTTTTTTGCATTACAGATAAAACCCAGAAGTCTTCTCTATCCTTCCCACAGCTACCAAATATTTTTCACACTCCAGGAATGGCGTGCCTTTCACTTCCTTCCTTATCCCTCACTTTCAGCTACCACCTGCACCTCCCAAAACCTCCCTGAGCCACTGGTCTTCTCAGCAGTCCTGTAACACTTTCTGCTAGCACTCTGCAACTACACTCATCTGACAAGACTGGAAGAAGTAACACCACAGGCTTCTCGATGCAGAGACTCAATCTCATACTCAGAAGGAAAGCCCCCATGCAACAGTTTGCTGGAAACTGGGAACTTACCCTGTCATCACGCTGCTCTTCCAAATGTCCATTTGCAGAAATCAGAGGTGATCATCCTGGAAAGGGTTTGCATCTGAAATGGAAAACTTGTGTTTAAAATAAAAGCATAAGAAAAGCAGCAATGAGAAGGAGTTTATTTTGGATGCCAGTGGAGCAGATGATAACATGGCTGTATTCCTATGTGAGCACTGCGCAACCACATGCACTGTCTAAACCTTGTCCCATCCCTGTCCCAGAAACCCTTCCATCCCCTCCATTAGCTCCTGAACAGGAGCAAACATTAGTAAAGTGAACTGGAGAGACCAGTAGTAAGGTGAATGGGAGAGAGGGCATTCATCTAGAAACCAGAGCTCCTTCCTGGCCTTCGGACTGTTGACTTGTATTAATGTATCAGCCAACCCCATCAAACTACCTTTGGCTGACTAACTTCTTCCAAAGGACATTTCCAAGAGAAGGCTCCTGTTGCAGTCCTGCTCACTGGAGCTTGGTGCAAGGCTCTAGGTTTTGTGTGGCTTCTACCTGAGGTAGCTAAGAGGCATTTCCAGTGGTTTTCTGTTTTTCAGTCTCCTAAGCTGCTGAAACCAGTTCATCCCAAACATTATTCGAACTGGTTTTCCTGTAGTCCAGTTTCCTTTTACTCAATCCAGTCTAAGTGAAGGCTACCAAATAGAGTAGTATTTTTCCTTCTGTCCTACCATACAGGGCCTCCTCAGTCACAGAATCACAGAATCCCAAGGGTTGGAAGGGACCTCAAAAGATCTGTCACTCTCACAGTAAAGAAGTTTTTCTGATGTTCACATGGAACCTCCTATGCTCCAGTTTACACCCATTGCCCCTTGTCCTATCACTGGATATCACTGAAAAAAACCTAGCTCCATCATCCTGACACTCACCCTTTACATATTTGTAAACATTGATGAGGTCACCCCTCAGTCTCCTCCAAGCTAAAGAGACCCAGCTCCTTCAGCCTCTCCTCATAAGGGAGGTGTTCCACTCCCTTAATCATCTTTGCGGCTCTGCGCTGGACTCTTTCAAGCAATTCCCTGTCCTTCTTGAACTGAGGGGCCTAGAACTGGACACAGTATTCCAGGTGCGGCCTCACAAAGGCAGAGTAGAGGGGGAGGAGAACCTCTCTTGACCTACTAACCACACCCTTTCTAACACACCCTAGGATGCCATTGGCCTTCTTGGCCACAAGGGCACATTGCTGACTCATGTTCATCCTCCTACCCACCAGGACCCCCAGGTCCCTTTCCCCTTCACTACTTTCCAGCAGGTCAGTCCCCAACCTGTACTGGTACATGGGGTTGTTCTTCCCCAGATGCAAGACTCTACACTTGCTCTTGTGGAATTTCATCAAGTTTCTCCCTGCCCAACTCTCCAGCCTGTCCAGGTCTCGCTGGATGGCAGCACAGCCTTCTGGTGTGTCAGCCACTCCTCCCAGTTTAGTATCATCAGCGAACTTGCTGAGGGTACACTCAGTTCCCTCATCCAGGTCATTGATGAAAATATTAAACAGCACTGGTCCCAGCACCGACCCCTGAGGCACTCCACTAGTCACAGACCTCCAGCTAGATTCTGCACCATTGACCACAGCTCTCTGCCTTCTTCCTTTCAACCAGCTCTTGATCCACCTCACTACCTGATCATCAAGCCCACACTTCCTTAGCTTATCTATGAGGATGCTGGGGGAGACAATGTCAAATGCCTTACTGAAATCAAGAATATCACCTCCTGTAGATTCACTCAGTGAAAGTGGTTACAGGAACTTTTAGGAAGCAATCATGTACTGCATACATGGTTCTCTGCCCAAATTCAGCCAAACAACCTTGTTTCTTTTTCTTTATGTCTGTGGCAAAGCCATTGCACAGGGCATGGTATCACTGTCCCAGTTCAATAAAAATCATGAGCATGCCTACAGCTTTGTCCAGCTGCTTAGGCTGCAGTTCCATCACTGGTTAAGTGAACTTAAAGTCATGTCACTCTGGTCTTCTTCTTTCCCTTACACTGGCTGCATGTCCCCATCTCTCTCCTTTGCATCAGCAGTGGCATTTATCTGACCCCTGGAACTGAGTGGAGCTCCAGACTCCAATATGTCAGAAAACTAAATCCACAAGAGGAATGAATATTTTTTTTGCTAGTTTAAACTACCATAAAACCACATCCACAAAACCATGACTGATCTGAGCCCTTCATAAGACAATTTCAATGGGCAAGTTACTGTAAGTTTAGGCTCCTCTTGCATTTAGCGTTCTGCAATATGTCAGATAGATTTCAGAACCATAGACAATTACATTTTGGAAAACATGAGTAACTACAGACCTCCTTCTCCAGAAAGTCTTTCTTTCCTGACTCTTGGGGAAAAAAATGTAACTGTGTTTCCAGCAATTTTTTTTTTTTTTAAGATTTCAGAAAACAAAAAGCTTACAAGATTACGGAAAAAAAAAAAAAAAGAAAGAAAAAAAAGAAAAAGGAAAAAAAAAAGACCATTTTAGTTGAAGAAGCAAAAATCTTGAATAATTTCTCATAGTCTTTTACTGGAATCCAATAAACACATTACCAAATTACACTGTATATTTTACTAGGCTAAGATATATTTGTGTGTATTAGAGGCACAGCATGAAGAAAAACAATAAAAAATATTAGCCTCCTTCATATAACTCAGTAGAGTTATAAAATATCTAATTGAATAAACTCCATTTGACATGAACAAATGGCGACATTTCCATGCAGTGTTGTCTTTTTTGGCTTCCTGACAAACAAAAGCTTAAGGAACCATGATTTTTGTTTCTTAAGGGCAAGTTTGTCTATTTTTATAAACTCAGCAATCAGTATTAAAGTATGAGCATAAGCACTTTTAATTTATGAACTGTATACTTTCAGTGAGTTTAATAGTTTAATCTTACGCATGTTGTTATAAGAGTGGCGGTTTTTGCTCTACTGCATAGGATTGCTTAATGAAAAATATTGCATTAAGGCATAAAAGCAGCCATATATGTAGAAAATCAGAAAAGGAATAATTAAGACACAGCAAAATCAATACTATGCTGATTTCTTGTAAGCAGAAGAGCACCATTAACTTGAAGGAAAACACAACCCCAACAGGGAGCCTGCACTGATGTCACCCATAGACAGAAGGCCGTCAGAAGATGTGAAAATCCTCTCTGTGGTTACGTAGATGAACAGGCTTCTTCCTCCCTGGCAGACACTTGGCACTTTTCTTTGTTCCTTAAAAAGTAGAGCTCAGCACTCCTGAGTTTTGATATTTGGCTCAGGTGCAGTTTTGTTCCCAGTTCCCAGCTCTGATGAAGTGGTTTGTCCAGCATGTCTCCTCCAAAGCACCTCTCCAGCACCTGTGTTTGAATTGACTGGTGGATCTGCCAGTTTGCATGAAGCTGGGAGTCAGGAGGGGTTGCATGTTTAAACTGACCTAAAAAGGACTTACCACTAATACTTGTCTATGAAAATATCACATAAGGACTAGACTTTCATGAGACTAGCTATGAAGTGAATCACTGCTGTCCATTATTCACAGCAGAAATAAAATGTGACCTGCTGTTAGCGTTAGGGAGAGGATGGCTTTTTCCACCAAACTCATGTTCAGATCTGATAAGGATTTTTCACAATGAGTATTTATCATGTAGAAAGCAGGCTCTTTCACTTTGTAATATTGATGTCAGTCACAGATGGGCTGCTGGTTGCCATGCGGATGATAATGCTCCAGGGATTTTCAGTTAATATTAAATGGAAAGTGCTTGATTTGCATGTCTCTCTAGAAACGGCAGAAAAACCATCTTGAGAATCAATATTGATAATACTCTGAATGTGAAGCAAAAAATAAGGAGTGCATGTCACATGGTGACTCCTATAGCTGTTAAAAGATATGTAGAAATATCTTGCAACAGGAAAAGCAGGACATTTAAAAGAAGACAAAATTCAAATTTGGCCTATCCAACTTTGCCAAAAATAACATCAGAGCCGATTCTTCATAACTGCATTCTAATTAAGACAATGCATTAATTAACAGATTGCAGAACACCTGTATGCCGCCACAAACTTGTCAAATGCATGTCCCAGTGTAGGTGAGCACCATGTGCAAGAAGAGCACACACAAAGAGCAGGCAGACCCAGACCAGCTGAGCTGTAGGTCATGTCCTAGGAGTGTTCAGGGGCTGGGAAGTGACCTCTCACCACCCTTTGGCAAGGGAACACAGGGCTGAGGCAAGCCCACGCTTGCATTGTTGGATGTGGGCCTTTTTGTTCTTTTTGGCCTATGGAAATGTAGTGAGACAAAGCAGCCAGCAAGGAGGTTTGTTTCGTAATTCTAACTCTCAACCCAAATCACACACATAGAAGAAAAGTGATATTTGCTTCCCCTGCTGCTTCAGGCTAGGATCAAGTGCTCATGACCATGTGGATCTAATGGCTCACATGGCTCTTACCTTTCTCAAAGAAGTCTAACTTCTCAACCTGGTTATGCAGTTAGTAATTCATGAAAAATCCTATCACCTGAAGAACAAGTACACCAGCCAAACTGACCTCTCTGCTGTATTCTCAGTGTCAGCTTTCTTACTTCTGTTTAGGGGGGCAATATAAGATTTTCAGGAAAGCATATGTACGGTGTATTTCTTACCCCATTTTACATTACCAGTAGCCTGACCACTGCTGAGTATTCAGCTAAAATAGATTAAATGAACCCATAAAAACAGAGGATGATTCAAATCAAGACTTGGCATTGAAGACCAGGCAAGTGTGGAGCCCTACACACCCTCTGTAGGTGAGTCTCATCATACAAGCAGGATTCTCATTTATTTGGTTAAACAAGAGTGTGTGTGTATGCACAAGAGAAAAAAACCCTTTACTGGGTTCTGAAAAAAATTAAAGCAAGCAAAACCCACAGCAGACAGAGCTATGAAAGACACCCTGTGGCTGGTTTGGAATTTGAACCAAGGGAAAGGCATTTTCCCCTTAGCTCCTCAATGATTGCACACAGTGTTCATCCAAGCGGAGCCCAAGTTAGGTCCTAAACTTGTCAGTGAAGGACAACATTGAGATTTTGGACACAGGGGAAAGACTGAACATGTGCAAAACCACCAAATAACTGTTGATGTCGGGTAAATCCTGATTCAGGGATACCGGTAAGCTGTAGCAATTCCACTGACCTGGATCCAGCTCCATTCCTTCAGCTCAGGTTGGAGTCAGGCAGCCTGCTCATTTCCTGATGATCAGGGCAGCATCTTCACTATCCACATGCACCCTGAAGAGAAGGATGTCAGAAACTAACCTGGAATGCAGAAACAATTTGTGCATCAGTTAGTAGAAAGAAGGAAAACAGCACATGAGTAATTGGAGTCTCAGGGAAGGGAAAACAGAGAACAATGTTGGCAAAGCTGAAGTAAAATACAAATGAGAATGCTTTTGTCTTCATCCACAGCCTCAGCTCTCCAGCCTGCTTACACAGGCTTGCCCCTCAGTACATCAGGCAACTTCTCTGCAGTGAGAGGAGAAAAATCATATGCTCAGCTGAATATCACATGATTTAATACCCAAGAAATTTGCTTAATTTTTAATTTTTTTATAGTGTGCTATTTCAGCTGGACCCAGATAATTCGTTTTAAAACGATCATTGCAGGTTTACCTTTTCTAACAGCAGTGAAGCAACTATGGATACAAATTATCTATCACATTATAGTTGTTGCCACGGAAATAAACTGCCACATTATAAGCACAAATAGAGCGAGCCTGCTGCAAAGGAAGATGTGGCAGCCACGGCTTTAAGGAAGTGCTTTTTCAGTGATATATGATGAACCAGTTCCTCCAAACCTCCTGAACTACAGGAGGTAATGCAGCAGCTCTGGCTTACATTGTTATAGAACTGTGCATAATGTCTCAAATCACTTTGGCAACAGAGGGTGCCTCATACTTGATGGCTTGAGGTTAAATGGTAGTTTTGTCATACTGGGAACTCAGCTGGGACTTTCTGACGAATCTCTGCATTACAGCCTGTTCCTCTGAACTACAATCCCAGGAGCACATCCTTGCCAAAAAGAAGTCTCTTTTCCTAGCAATAATATACATGCATGAGCACGACTAAGATGCTTTGCAGCAGACCCATCCTTTCAGAAACTCCCCTTAGGCAAGAGGATTTCTCCCCTGGCCTCATGGTTTGTGACTGTAGCCATGTGATGCCACAGAAAGCTAGAAGGGCATCAAAGTCTGCTGTGATCTAGGGGCCTGTTTTAAAGTGAGAAAAAGGAAAAGAAAGGGGAAAGGGAAAAGGAAAAGAACCTGTGTGGTTTTGTTATTCTTGCATGGTCAGGGCAAAAAGCACATGGTCAAAAAAACCTTAGCAATCAATTACAGATTTTGAGACAGCCGTCTCCTAATCTTGCTCAGAGGATTCAATACGCCATTAGTAATATCCCAACCCAACTGGCTCATACATGCTCCAGTCTCATGCATGCTGGGCTGCCCCACCAGAGATGCTGTGTGTGGAGACAACAGCCACCAGAGAGCACATGCTGGGGAGAGACCTCTTTGGTACTCAGGTTGAAGACATGGGTACTATGTATGTACGGAAAACAATATTGGCTGCAGAGAAGCTCTGACACCCATATGTGCTGGTTTGCATCTTGTGAATCTGATTCCAGGGCGTGGGGCAGTAAGAAGCTGTGATTGCAGCTACTGTCCTGTGCTGCATGTTCACAGTGTGAAATAGGTGCCTGGCCTTTCCAAAGAGCATGTCTATGCCAGGGAGGGGATGTGGAAGTGGAGCAAGAGAGGACACAAGCCCACCACTCTCACCATAAGCGTACTCTATCAGTTAACGGAGAAGAGGCACAAATGAGGCTGAAATAAAGCCCCTTGTTATTTTTTATTTTCTAACCTGCTTTTCCAGCACCTCCAGAAGAATCAGAGAATGAGGCTGTGTTCATCCCTGCCTTACTTGATCCTAACACACCCTCGCCTCTTAGGGTTCTGCCTTGGCTGGGTAAGGCTGCAAGTCATCAGCCCTGGCATCTGCCTGTGCCCTACCTGTGTGGGCGCTGGGCTGCCAGCCAGCCCCAGTGACCAACCACCTCCTGGGGAAAACAGCCTCCCTGGAAGGTGCATGGGCAGGCATGGTGGGGCAGAGCCAGCAGGCTGGGCTGAACCCACCCTCTGTGCACATCGGTGGCCGGTGGCCAGTGGCCATCAGGAACGGAACATCCAGAGGACACAGCAGCAAGCTGTGGGCATGGCCAGAGCCCACCCTCCGTCTGCTCTGTGGGTACAAGCAAACTTTGCTTTCGTAGTCTCAGGCCAACTCATGTCACAAACAGTCAATTAGCTTTTTAAAAGTCAAACAAACAAACAGAGCAGGAGATTATAACTGATTAACTGAAGGGCAGGAAACATGAGAAGCTGGTTTGCTAGAAAGGAAAGCTCTTGTGCTGAGATCTCCAGTAATTAGCAGCAACAAGACCTACAGAAATTTATGAGGGGAAAAAAAATAGCGAACCCTTCCTGTTTGAATGTTCTCTTTTCACATGTTTTGCTTGGAAGACTAGCTTTAAATACAAACACAGACTGGGTCTCAAATACAGAAGAGATTCATGCTCTGCAGAAGTCATATGCTTGGATTGCAAATCAGATGAACACGGGTCAGTGCAAGCTTCCTCCTCCCCAGTCTCCCCTCTCCCAAAAAACTTCTGTCTTTTTAACAACTGTCAGATTGACAGCTCTATACTTTTCTCCAAGCACCTGGAAGGCAATTTGGTTACTGCTGGCAAATGCTTTAGGTCCTCCTTGGAACACAATTGCAGACCAAAGCCGCTAGAGAGTAAAGGGCGAACTTCCTTTGCTGCTGCTGCACTGTGTGATTCAGTAATAATTTAGCAATCTCAGCACAGCAATTGCTTATGTGCCCTGCTTATCAGACTGCAGCGGAGCTGCTGTTGATTGTGCAGAAACATACCTGGTTTCATTATTCCCTTGAAGAAGTATTCTTCACCTGGCTCATGGAGCAGCACAGAGTTTCCCTGATTCACATAATGAGATCCCCAGGCAAAGCTGAAATCCTGACCTAGATTTCAATGGCTCTCCAAGCTCTGTTTATGCACCTTCAGCATGGTTGTGTTTACTCTTTTAAATTGCAGATAAACTGCAAATTAAAGAGAACCCTGGGTCTTGTCTTTTTCATTTTTTTATTTATTTTATTTTTCCAGTTTAAACGCATTCATCTCTGCTTTGCTGTCCTGGCTTTGCCTCTCTTTGGCTTCATTGAATAGTTCAGAAGAAAACTTGAAACAAAATGAAGACTTGCTCAAATAGATAGCAATAGCATACACTTGGAAAAACAGCACTAGCAGATCAGCAGTGATTTCATTGGGAAGGAGGACAGCAGGTCTGATCCTGACTGAACACACAGAGCTTGTTAGTGTTGGGTTATTATTGTGTGGGAAGGTCCCAGGAGCAAGTATAGCTCCAGGGATGCAGGCCTGTGTACGTTGTTAAGGATGGTGCTCAAACTCCACTACCCATGGAGAGGATCATTATTCCATTTCCCTGATAGCAAATTGCAAGAAAAACTCAAGGTAAATCTGCACATTGATACAAAGGGACACAGAGAACAAGAGGTGGCTCTCAAGAGTTATTTGGCTAATAGCATCACTCATCACCACTGCGGTGTCCTAGCCCCTCTCCCATGCAGGGTTATCACTTAGGTGTTTGGACCTAACTTCCAGAAATCCCTAACAGTGCTCAGACTCTTCTGCAGCTGAGACCAGGGGCAGCAGTATTACGCCACCAAGATGATTCTGAAAAGCCCTCACACACAGAGCAGCCCTCCTTCCCCTTCCAAAATCCATCATGACATGCTGCAGGTCCCTGGCTGAGGCCACTCCAGAGCAGGGCTGGTGTGAGTAGTGGGTATGTGCTCTGTGGAGCCTGACGAAGCCTTGTTCACATTAAAAAGCAAATGAGTGGGTGACAATTAAAGTGTTGCATATTTTTGCCTAAAAATAGCTCTCCCACAATCTCACCCCACTTATTTCAGCACAGCACTGAGCTGCCATTAATTTACACTTACCAGAAAAGAGAAGGAATTCTAATGGTTTACTTCCTTACATAAATATCTTCTATTTTAGGGACTGACTTTGTGGACTCTCTTTGCAGCCCAGCCCAGAGGTCCCAGGGAGGGCCGAGGGTACTTGCAATAGTGAAAACACACTTTCAAAACCATTTTTAGAAATCCCTGTCAATGTTTGGGTATCTACAGAGCTATGAAAGTCCAGCTGAACCAGAAGAGCTGTCACCAAACAGGAGCTTCCCAGCAGCCAGCCCTGTAAGGCAGAGGTCTCCACTGCAGGTGGAGGCACAGGTGGGAGCCAGGGAAGAGCTCTGCCCTTCTGAGCCCATCAGTTTACATTTTGATTAATCTTGCTGAGAACAAAGTAACCACAACAAAACCAAACCCGAACTACACAACAGGGCTGAGAGGTACAAAAGAGTGGTAGTATCAAGGCCCTTTCTGCACTCAGAGTGAGACAGGGTTTGAAGAGTTTTTAAGATTGAAAAGGGAATGTAGCTCAGCGCTGAACATGTGGGAAGCTGGAGACAAAGTCTGAACAGTCTTCTTTAAATCAAGGACTTTCTTTTCACCTCTGCTTTTGCTTTGTGACAGGTACCATCACAGTCCTTCCCCCTCAACTGCTCTTTGTACACAGCAACAGAGTTTGCAGAGCTGAATTCTGCACCACCCTGCTCCCAGTGCCTTAAAGGGCCATGCTTATGCCCAGGAGCTAAATCTGGAATAAAGCCCTGCCCTTCATGATGGGAAGTGAGACAGTCAATGCTTAGGTGAGCAGGAGTCCTCTTCCCATCCCGGCTGTGCTCTGTACCCTCCTGAGCTGCTCTGTCCTGGGGCTTTCAACCACATGGCTATTCAGCAGGTCAGAGCCCTCTCTCACCAGTCCAAAAGTTATCCCACAACAAGATGCTTTGCAGTGACACTGGCAGAGACAGGGAGCCAGCCTCCTCCCTTCACAACATGGAGCTCTGACAGACAAAGCAAATCCGTAAAGCATTCCCTGCTGCATGAAATGCTGTAAGCCAGCTGTGAAGCCACCTCCTCATTGGCATGGTACCCCATACCAAAGACAGTACCTACCTCTCAGGCTGACAGCCTGCCAAAAGAAGGGTAGAAAAAATATGTCCAGGAAGTGACATTAGCTTTTCTTTCAATGGTTCACTGAGCAAACGTTTGGAAACTGGTCCCTGTAATGAAATGGGTATTACATTGCTGTTGTGCAACTGGGGCTGTGTCTACTCTGACCATTTTCCCCACAGATACATTCATGACACTACCTCTACTCAAAGCCTATTGCTGGCCCTGCTCATGCAGCCTGAACACTGCACTGCTGTTTTCAGTCAGGGCTTTTGATAACCGTTTTGCAGGTAGAAGTTGCTGTCCCTCAAGCACTTGCACCAGTAGCCTCTTCTGTTCATTGTTAATCTTCAAAACACAAGCTGGTTAAACGAGAAAAATCTAGTCTTTTCCAGACACCCTGATAGCACTGTCATACCCTGTTGCGATGGCCATGACTCTGCCCGTTAAGTCTCCCAGTTTGGGCTTATCTGCACTGGTGTGACCATTTGGTGCATCACCCACCCCATCTCACTCTCATCTCCAGCCTGTTCCTCTGCTCCTCCATATGGCACAAACCAGGGCTGTGATGTGGATTAGAAGAGCTTTAAAATTGATCTTGTTCAATTTACATCTTCAAAGCTCTCTGAAAAAATTTAAATCTGTATTTTGGGATTTTTTTTTAAATCTGTGTTCCCATCAGACACAGTGCCTTTTATTTATTTATTTTGAAACAGCACTGGAGAACCACAAGGCCAGTAATGGACCATAATGAGCTAAAACTGCTGACCAGGACTTAGCTGTATTTAATTAAGACTCTGTTACACACACAGCATTAGCAAGGCAATGCCAGGGAGCAGTGTGCAGCACTCTGGCAGCCTCCCCATGAAGAGCCTACTCGCAGTCCATCACCTCTTCCAGAGGAAGACCTCTGTGCCAGGAAACTTCCCTTGGCCAGGTGGCACTGCTGGCCATCTGTAGCCGGTCCCCTATCCCAGCAGGACTGCGCACCCTCCCCAGTCCTGCATGTCCACAGGAGGGAAGCCCAGCCTTCAAATTAGCAGTGCCTGAGAAATTAGCGATATAAATAACAACAACCTACCAAGCAGCAGCACTTATGGATGCCCTAGAGGTGGTACGGGTTCTTTTATGTTCTTCTAAATTAGATTAACAAAAATTCGTTTGATGATGCCAATACTGCGGGCCCAGGAGTGCTACATCATCCTTTATGGGCGCATAAATACATGTTTCATTCTGTCACATTTAGTATCGGCGATGATTTCACACACAGCTGTAGATCAGCTCTCTTTTGATCACAATCTGCCACCCTTTTCTAGCCATTCAAATTTATAGCAACATTAATAGTTCAAAAATAATGGTGTTTACTGTATAGTAGATTTCTATAAATTAGGAGGAAGCAAGAGATCCTAACAAAGACCTCAGAATGCAGCAAAGCTGGACTGAATGTCAGCTTTTTCACCCCGATTAACACATCCTTGTCTATTGGCAGAAAGTTTCCATTGCAGCTGTGAGAAAATAATGCCATGGATTACGTCACATTGATTCAAAGTGAAATTCAAAGCCAAAGAGAAAGCAGAAAAGCACTCCCCATGTTCTCACAGAAAATATCACTGCCTCGATTAGGTGCTACAGATGCTTGGAGTAAACATATTTTCCACCAGTTTTCTTAGAATCGTACCCACTTAAATCTCCAATATTCTTCTGCATGTTCATTTTTCACCCCAGTTTAATACCACGCCTCTGGGTGTTGGTGGTTAAGGGGATACTGCCAAGCAAGGAAAGCCAAGAAAAGCTGGGATAAGAAGGGAAAATATGGCCTTTCAATAGTAAATAAACTTTCCAGCCTTAATGGTATCGCTGCTGTCAGCATAACTCAGAGCAGGGAAAAAAATCTCAGTGCTAGTTGTACCTTTCATTTCTTGGACCATGTGAATGCCCACTTCTCCAGTTTTCAATCTGCTTCCAATCCAATGGAAATAATGCACACAACTGAGCATTCAAGCCTGTAATAAATCTCATCTTTGTGTGGAATCTCTGGGATCCAGAACGGAAACAAAACTAAACAACACTTTTCAATATTTCAGTAAATATCAACTTCTTTCCAGTAAAAATTTGAGTTCCAGGGAATCAAAATATGCTGTTGATATAACTAGCACATAGCTGTAAGGTCAAAATTGAGACATCAAGTATCTGGAAGTAGCACTTGTGAACTGCATGTAAACACATGTAACACCTGTATGGGTCTCTTCAAAACGATAATAAAAGTTAGCAGCTTTGTTGCCAGCCAGAGTAAACTGGGAGCATCCCAAACATGAATGCCCTAGAAGATAAAAACCTCCTCACCTACAAAACTCCTTCCCAGCAGTGCTGATGGTCAGGGCAGCCCAGAAGTGGGAATGACAATGGAGCAGCAGATTCCTCCCTGGCTGCAGCATCACCTTCCACAGCACCTGTGATGGGAAGCTGGAACTGTGGCTCTACTTCTGCTCACTGCTAGAGAGGATTCAACTTAATCCTCTCAATGCTCAGCTTGGTCCTGCTCATGCAGCCAAGTCCCCCTGAATGTGCCATGCTGTTTTCAACATACACCAACAGAAAGTTTTCACCCTGAGTTACTATTATGTATATCCTACCCTTGCAAAAGTGGCAGGGGAGGAAGAGGGGAAGAAATCACCGGTTTTATAGGCACTACAAAGCAGCTTACTTTAGAGCTAAAAATTTCTGGCAGATGGTACCCAACATCTGGGAGAATGTTAATGTCCAGATATAAAATTTGTTTTCCTTATTTGTCTTTACTGAGATAGTACTTGGCTACAGTGTGTTGTGGTAAGATCTATTTCCTATGCCTGTCTCTTAAATTTAAACCTCAAAGCCATGTTTATAAACATTGCAACCTATCAGTTATTACTGTAGTGCAGGGCTGAATTCAGATCAGTGATGGTATGCATAA